CTATTTGCTGCAATGTGCAAAAATAAGTTTTTTCCAACATTTTGTCACATCTCACGAACTATTGAACCAATCGAGTTGAACTTCAGCGCGTTGTGCTCAGCAGGTTGCGTTTGACCGAATAGCGCTATTTGCTGCAATGTGCAAAAATAAGTTTTTTCCAACATTTTGTCATATCTCACGAGCTATTGAACCAATCGAGTTTAAACTCATCGCGTTTTCTCAGCAGGTTGCGTTTGACCGAATAGCACTATTTGCTGCAATGTGCAAAAATAAGTTTTTTCCAACATTTTGTCACATCTCACGAACTATTGAACCAATCGAGTTGAAACTCACCGCGTTGTGCTCACCAGGTTGCGTTTGACCGAATAACACTATTTGCTGCAATGTGCAAAAATAAATTTTTTCCAACATTTTGTGATATCTCACGAACTACTGAACCAATCGACCTGCAACTCAGCGCGTTGTGCTCAGCAGGTTGCGTTTGACCGAATAGCACTATTTGCTGCAATGTGCAAAAATAAATTTTTTCCAACATTTTGTCATATCTCACGAACTATTGGACCAATCGAGCTGAAACTCAGCGCGTTGTGCTCAACAGGTCGCGTTTGACCGGATAGCACTATTTGCTGCAATGTGCAAAAATAAATTTTTTCCAACATTTTGTCACATCTCACGAACTATTGAACCAATCGAGCTGAAACTCAGCGCGTTGTGCTCAGCAGGTTGCGTTTGACCGAATAGCACTATTTGCTGCAATGTGCAAAAATAAGTTTTTTCCAACATTTTGTCATATCTCACGAACTATTGAACCAATCGAGCTCAAACTCAGCGCGTTGTGCTCTGCAGGTTGCGTTTGACCGAATAGCGCTATTTGCTGCAATGTGCAAAAATAAGTTTTTTCTAACATTTTGTCATATCTCACGAACTATTGAACCAATCGAGCTGAAACTCAGCGCGTTGTGCTCAGCAGGTTGCGTTTGACCGAATGGCGCTATTTGCTGCAGCGTGCAAAAATAAGTTTTTTCCAACATTTTGTCATATCTCACGAACTATTGAACCAATCGAGCTGAAACTCAGCGCGTTGTGCTCAGCAGGTTGCGTTTGACCGATTAGCACTATTTGCTGCAATGTGCAAAAATAAGTTTTTTCCAACATTTTGTCATATCTCACGAACTATTGAACCAATCGAGCTGAAACTCAGCGCGTTGTCCTCAGCAGTTTGCGTTTGACCGAATAGCGCTATTTGCTGCAATGTGCAAAAATAAGTTTTTTAAAACATTTTGTCACATCTCACGAACTATTGAACCAATCGAGCTGAAACTCAGCGCGTTGTGCTCAGCAGGTTGCGTTTGACCGAATAGCACTATTTGCCGCAATGTGCAAAAATAAGTTTTTTCCAACATTTTGTCATATCTCACGAAATATTGAACCAATCGAGCTGAAACTCAGCGCATTGTGCTGAGCAGGTTGCGTTTGACCGAATAGCACTATTTGCGGCAATGTGCAAAAATAAGTTTTTTCCAACATTTTGTCACATCTCACGAACTATTGAACCAATCGAGTTGAACTTCAGCGCGTTGTCCTCAGCAGGTTGCGTTTGACCGAATAGCGCTATTTGCTGCAATGTGCAAAAATAAGTTTTTTCCAACATTTTGTCACATCTCACGAACTATTGAACCAATCGCAGAGGAGGTACGACAAGCAATTAGCGAGTTGTCACGTGAGCTCTCGACCAATGAGATTGCTCTATTTTCCATCGTGCTATCTGCATAATTTGGACAGAAAAATTTGCATTCGACGGAAAATAAATCGAAAAAAAATATTAATATTAAAATTTTCTTGCAAAATTTCAAGTTTAGTAGTACTATTGCTAAAGATCTGGTGATATCTGCAAAAATCTCTGAGGTAAACGTTATTTTCAATGTTATTTTGATGTTTGAAGTTAGTCGACTCCCCGCGACGTGTTGACTCGAGTCTAAATATGTTTACAATGTTTAAAATGAAATATCTAGAATTCCCATTGTTCGATTTTTTTCATTTTTGGTAGTCGTCAAGACAAAAGTATAATCTTTAAATCTGCTGGAAGGATCCCGGTGATCCCCCGGCAGTTTTCGAGATATTGACCATTGAAGTGACTATTGTCAACTCGACGTTCGCTAAAATGGCGTCTAATACCTTGGAAACAAAATGCGCCATCAAAGATGATATTTTCAATGAATTTTTGTTAAAGTGTTAAAATATTATTTAGAAGACTTAGGAGTTGTTTTAATATTTTTTTAGAATTTATATCTGTGCGATTTTTACAGTTTTGTTGTCTTTGGCCGACGCGACTGGATCGTGTACGTATTTCAAGACGAGCTGATCTCCTGATACTGGGGTTTTTGTGGCAAATCGAGTTGCGGAATCCTCAGCATGGACAATCCAGGACAAATCAGTGTCATAACAGTCCATTTCAAACCAGCAGAGAGCTTCACTTGTTTTAAAACAATAAACAAGTTTTTATGTATCATATAACAAATTAAGTGGCATGTTATTATATTGTGGGATCTTTTTCTGAGCTGAAGTGGGATCTCTGATCAATTTAATAAATATTATATAAATAGACATCTTCTTGTTTTATTGTTGCATTAATTTTAATCTGAAAAAATACTCACAAAGTAGGTCAAGTGTATGAATTAATTTTTCATAAGTTTATTTACTAAAGTACATTTTTTACAGTTATTTATGTACATACTTGGTCTTATTTGCATGAGTGTACATGACAGATTGTTTTACTTAGATATACCCAGTTATCATTCATAACCTATGATTTGTTTAAAAAATGCTGGAAAAACTAAAAAAGTTAGCCAATTGAAATAAATGCACTAATAACTTGCTAAACATACCTATGGTAGTTGCTATTTATTATATAAAAAACATATGTCAACATACACTCATGCTTTTTCCTACTACTCGAGTCTCCACTCACCAGGTGTCTTTATGAAAATTTTTGGATAAAATCCTATTTTAAAAAAGTCAACCCTATACTTGATACACAGAACATAGACATCCAGGACATCTCCTGCAGCAATTAGTGGGTGCAAATACTTGCATAGTTCAGAAGCAATATAAACAACATGTGTCCATACAGTTCCATAGTCTAGATCAATAGGCAATTCCAGCTTTTAATTTATGCATGCAGGGGGTGACGGGAAGTAAGGTATCATATTCCTGATTATGCTGAAAAATTTTAATAAACTGCCTAAACAACCAAAATATTTCAATATTTACAATAGCTATCACTCCATGTTTACATGGCTACCATTTCTATTTTTCAGCATTATCAGCAATATGATACCATCACCCCCTGCACACATAATCTAAAAGCTGGAATTGGCTATTGCACTTGCCTGTTGGGTCCCTTGGATTCAATGGTGCTGGCCGTATTCTTACATTGAATTCACTGTTTTATCTTGTTCATGAAGAGCGAGGTATT